GGGTACGTTAATACCCTTGTTCAGGGTGAAATTTATCTACCTCCACTACCGGTTCGCGAATGTGAGCGTGTGCACCTCCTCCACGCATGCATAGGGTCTTCTGCGCATGCGCAGAGGGTTAAAAAGGGACTTGATGTCGTCCGGGCAGAGCCTCCCGTCACCGGCGCTACCAGTTTGCCCAAGCCGGATAGAACCGGCTGCATTTCAACACTACCTTTGTTTATAAAAGAGTGACGTGCAAAAATACTTATCCAACTTGCTGAACAAAAGGTTGTTTTTTTTTCATAATGGTACACATTTGGAATACTGCATCCAATGTTGGTCACTTTACAAAAAAGATGCTGAGACTTTGGAAAAAGTGCAAAGAAGAGCAACTAAGATGATTAAGGGCCTGGAGACTAAAACATATCAAGAACAGTTGGGGGATTTGGGTTTGGCTAATCTAGAGAAAAGGAGGACTACAGGGGACATGATAGCAGTCTTCTAATGTTTGAGGGGCTGCCCCAAAGAAAGCCAGACAAGAAGCAATGGATGGAAACTAATCAAGGAGGGAAGCAACCTGGAATTAAGCAGAAACTTCCTAGCAGTGAGGACAATTAACCAGTGGAACAACTTGCCACCAGAAGTTGTGGGTGCTCCATCACTGGAGGTTTTTAAGAAGAGACTGGACAGCCACTTGTCTGGAATGGTAGAGGGTCTCCTGCTTGAAGGAGGAGTAGAAGGCCTCCAAGGTCCCTTCCAGCTCGATTCTGATTTCCTGCAAATGTCATTTCGTTCCGATACACAAGTAAAAACATTACCATGAATTGTGGATGTTTGTTTCTTTTCCCTTCTGGGTTATGGGATGGCAAAACTCTTGCTTTTCCTGAATAGCGCTTTTAAGTCAGGAACAAATCATAGAGTTGAATTACTCTTCCCCCCGCCCCGCCCCACCCCGCCCCCCCATTCCAGCTGAACGTAAGCATTGAGTTTTGCTCCTGCCCCAAAACAGGTCGGACAACTCTTGTTTAGGGGAACAAAAAAAACCCCCAAAAATCACTGAAATCTTTCCTACAAGCCAGAGGTAATTCTGGGTCTAAATTGAAAAACTGATTAAGGAGATATTCAACCTAGAAATAAGGAGGAATTTTCTGACAGTGAGAACAATCAACCCATGGAACAGAAGCTGCCTTCAAAAGCTGTGGGAGCTTCATCACTGGAAGCTTTCAAGAAGAGACTGGACTGCCACCTGTCAGAAATGGTGTAGGGTCTCCTGCTTGGGCGGGGGGGTTGGACTAGATGACCTCCAAGGTCCCTTCCAACTCTGTTAATCTATCTATCCATCTACTTTATCGGCCAAGTGTGACAAGACACACAAGGAATTTGTCTCCGGCGCAGAAGCTCTCAGCGTACAGGTAGTCCCTGACTTACAACAGTTCATTTAGCGACCGTTCGAAGTTACGATGGCACTGAAAGAAAAAAGTGACTAAAGACCGTTTTTACCGTTTTTCACACTTACGACCATTGGCAGCATCCCACGTGGTCAAAATCCAGACTCTTGGGAACTGACTCGTATCCGTTGGCAAAATCAGACACTTGGCACACTCAAGCGTCATAAATATGAGTCAGTTGCCCAATGCCTGAATTTTTTATCATGTGACCGCAGGGGATGCTGTAAACGGTCGTTAAGTGTGAAAGACGGTCCCAACTCATTTTTTTCAGCACCCGTTGTAACTTTGAAAAGGGTCACGAAACAAACTGTTGTTAAGTTGTGGGCTGCCTATATGAATTTGTTTTCAGTTGATGGTTTCTGCAATGATGGTTAATGATGGTTAATGATGGTTAAGCAATTTTACTGCCAATTTTACCTAACCTAGGTTGAACGTGCTATTGATGTGCAGGCTAACTTACGACCGCAACCGAGCCCAACGTTTCTGTCGCTAAGCGAGACAAGTGAGCTCTGCCCCCATTTTACGCCCTCTCTTGCCACTGTTGCTAAGTAAAACACTGCAGCTGTTCAGCTGTAACCCGGTCATTAAGCGTATCTGGCTCCCCTGTCGACTTCACTTGCCAGAAGGTCACAAAAGGGGAATCACGTGACCCCCCAGAGGGTCAACGGCGACTGTTGTAATTACAAGTCGGTTGCCGAGCATCCAAATTTCGATCACGTGACCCTTGGGATGTTGCAAAGGTCATTAAGTGTGAAAAGGGGTTGTAAGCAGTGGTGAAATGTAAAATTTGTTACTACCGGTTCTGTGGCCATGGCTGGGGGGGTGGGGGTTAATGTGACTGAGTGGGCATGGCCAACTTTTTTTTTCTTTTAAAACCATTTTTTAAAAGGTTGTAGAAAAAATGCTTTTAAAAGCCTCTGACGATCCCAGCTGAGCCACGCGATCATCAGAGGCTTTTTTTTTTTTTTTACTTTTAAAAGCATTTTTTCAGCCAAAGAGGTTGTAGAAAATACGCTTTTAAAAATAAAAATTGTGTGGCTCAGCTGGGCATGCGGCGGGGGGGGGGGCAGGGATTTTTGCTATCGGTTTTCCGAACCACCCGCCTCCATCGCTACCGGATCGGGCGATCCGGTTCAAACCGGGAGTATTTCATCCCTGGTTGTAAGTCACTTTTTTCCAGGTCTGTTGTTAACTTCGAACGGCCACTAAATGAAGGGTTGTAAGTCCAGGATTGCCTGTATTCAGAAAGCTTGCCATCCATCCATCTTTAGCTGTAGAAAAACGGCTTCCGTGAACTTAAAACTGGCAAATTATAAAAAATATATAAAGCCTGCCAGTTAGGATGGCAGCAGAGATGTTGAAAACATCACCTTCATTTAGTGACCATTTGAAGTTACAACGGCACTGGAAAAAAAATGTTTTTCCACTCTTAGGACAGTTGCGGCATCCCCCACTATCACGTGATCAAAATTCAGAGGCTTGGCAACTGGCATGTACTTATGACAGTTGCATTGTCCTGGGGATCACATGATCCCCCTTTGGCAACCTTCCAACGAGGAGCAAAGCTTAACAGTGGGGCAAGAGAGGTCATAAAATGTGAGCAGAGCTCACTTAACAAACTGTTTTGCTTAGCGACAGAAAATTCCAGCTCAATTGTGGTTCTTTGCTAAGGATCACCCTGTTTCCCCCAAAATAAGACATCCCCTGATAATAAGTTTACTATCAGTTTACTACCGCATGTGCAATGCGCACCACGCACCAAATGCGAGGTGCACGCCAAAAGAAGGCATGCGATAAGTAGAACAGCATGCGAGGGGGAGTGATCAGCTGTGGCGCGCAATCTTTTTTTTTTTTTACTTTTAAAAGCATTGCTTTTAAAAGGTAAAAATAAAAGCCTCTGACGATCGCGCTACTCAGCTGCGATTGTCAGAGGCTTTTTTTTAAACCTTTTAAAAGCATTTTTTCTACAACCTCTTCAGCCAAAGAGGTAGAAAAAATGCTTTTAAAAGTATATAAAAAAAAAAAGCCTCTGATGATCGTGTGGCTCAGCTGGGCATGAGGGGGTGGGGGGGACAGAGATTTTTGCTACCGGTTCTCCGAACCACCCGCTGCCATCGCTACAGGATCGGGTGATCCAGTCCGAACTGGGAACATTTCACTCCTGGCCAAACGCTTATTTCAGGGCTCAAAATAATATAAGACGGGGTCTTATTTTTGGAGAAACACGGTACCTGTCCAACCAGGTAATCGAGTTGACCTTACAAGGAATTTTAAAACTTCTAGTTATTAAATCTGGGAGCCTGCAGGGTGAAAGGAAACTCCAGGAATCACCACAGTAACATGTTCCAACAGAGGAGAAAGAAGATTATTATTGCTTCCATAATTTTCCCCAGGCTATACAGGTATTAGTCACTACCCAGTCCCTGGCATCACCTGTTCTGACCCAGCCTTAGCAGAAGCAAGAAACAGACTCCTTGTCACAAAAAAACCCTCTCGATTTATCTCCTGTGAATTAATTGCATTCACCCACCGAAAAATCCAGGCAAGAGTCCTTCAAGGAGTTAACGGCAGTAACAGACCTTATCAGTTCCTTGCGATAATTGCCAGGCCGTGAGCTCCCAGCTGCAAATTAAGTTCTGACAAGCGTCTCTGTGACATGAAACACAATAAGCGAAATCTCCAGAAATACGAACGGTTGTCTCCTACGACCACCACTCCCTTTTCCTTCTATTTCTTCCCCAGTCAGGGAGGGGCCATTCAGCGCCCACGTCTGCTTTGCTTCCCGAGTCAACTCGTTGTCTTCCCTTGTTCTCCTCTCCTAACAGCTCTGTGCATACGTGCATCTGGAACAGGCCCCAGCTGTTCTTCCTCCTCACTCATCTCAGCCTCCAAAGGCAGCTGCCTCTCCGGTGGCTGGGAAATGTCAGACGGCCCTGGCTCTATCTCTGCATCCGATGCAGAGCATCCATAAGAGCCTTCCCCAGACTCCAGGACTGGCCCAAGTTCCTCCCTAACCTCCTCATCATCCGAATCTGCCTCCAGCTCCACTGGCAGCTGGCGGGCCACAACACCACCTCTTAAGATGCCCATAATGTTATTTTTATAACCTTAAAAGCTATGAAGAAACTATTATTTACTATTTATTAATTCAATTTATATAAACCCGTATCACAAAACACGACTCTGGACAGCATACAGTGATCGAATAACCACAAATTGTGCATTTGCTGTTACGATATATTGTTATCTATGCTAGCAAATATATCAGAGATAGGGTAAAAAAATATATCAGAGATAGGGTAAAAAAAAAAATTTTTTTTTTTTAAAGCTGCGACAACAATGGAAACGCTTGTTATTGAGGGGTTAAAAGCTTCAGTAAAGTTTATTTATTGGTCTACTTATAACTCGTTCCAGTCCCCAAGGACGCTGGGAAGCATATATCTGAAATAATTCAAGATTTTCCAGTTCCAATTGCCAAAATGTGAATAGATGCGCCTTAAATCACACAGCTTAAATCAAAACCTTACCATTCCAACAGAAACCTGCTATGGCAAAAGAAATACAACCTACCCGTTCACGAGACTCGGTATTTATTAGCCTTATACTTTAGCTGATGTCTCAGTGCAAACGTTTTTCATCAAATTTGGATTCTTAGGGCATCTTTACGTTTCTATTTTGCTAAAGGAAAAAAAAAAAACATTTCGTAGAAACAAAACCCCAACCAGGAAAACTCCAAATATTTATTATCACATATCTAAATATATTGACAAGCAAATACAACCTAAAGATCTCTGTAACGATGTCAGCAAACATACAGACAATAAATAAATACTTTTGACTTCCAAAATAATCAGAGTTCCTCACCTAAGGCTTATGTGCCAACTCAGGGTCCTTGGGCTAAGAAAACAGGCACTTTCAGGGCTTACTGTAGTCCTCGATTTATGACCACAATGAAGCCCAAAATTTCTGTCGTTAAGTGAGACGCTGGTTCAGTGAGTTTCTCCGACCTTTCTTGCCGTAGCTATTAAGTGAATCACTACACTTGATAAGTTAGTGACGTGGTTGTTAAGTGAATCTGGCATCCCCACTGATTTCTGCTTGTCCGAAAGTCACAAAAGGAGGACACAGCAACGGTCGTAAGTATGAACCAATTGCCAAGCCTCTGAATTTTGATGACATGATCATGGGCATGCTACAGAGGTCGTAAGTGTGAAAAATGGTCACTGAGTCACCTTTTTTCAGTGCCGTTGTAACTCTGAACAGTCACTAAACGGACTGTTGTTAAATCGAGGGCTATCTACACAGGTAATCTGGACTTACATCAGTTCATTTAGTGACCATTCAAACTATTGCTGAGCACATTGTAAGCCGCCCTGAGTCTTCGGAGAAGGGCGGCATATAAATCAAATTAAAAAAAAAAAAAAAAAATTAACTTTTAACAAACAATACAGGTAACCTATTGCAACAATGGAATTGTTTAGTTTCATGCAAATGAAAGCTTATAAAATTTCATAATCCCAACACTTTAAACACTGGTTTATTTAGCGTAAAGAGGCCCTCAAAAATTTCAAGTATTTAAATTATGCGCACTTTCCTGGCTATTCAAATCAGCTTTCGCACACAGGCCACTTCGTGAACTCACAATAAATATCAGGAAATTAACCTGCCTGTATTTGCTTATGAAATGTAAAAGCCAACTTAAATTTAAATCCATACGGTTCAATACATATAGTCATCCACTTGATGGCAGTCATTCAGACACAAAATATATAGTTATGGACTAAGGATTACAATAGCACTTTTATAGGCATATTAACATCTGGGTAGAGAATGGGAGCAGATCAGAGAAAATTAGGTCTCTGGAGAATAGAGGGGTTTTTTTCTTCCATGGTATATATAAGCTTTCCTACTGCCATAAGATAGACAGACAGACAGACAGACAGACAGAAGATGATAGATAGATAGATAGATAGATAGATAGATAGATAGATAGATAGAGTTAGAAAGATAGATATAGAAAGATAGAAAGAATGATAGAAAGGAAGGAAGGAAGGAAGGAAGGAAGGAAGGAAGGAAGGAAGGAAGGAAGGAGACAAAAAGATGGATGGATGGATTGGTAGATACGGTAGGTAGGTAGATGATAGATAGATAGACGATGATAGATAGTTGATATAGAAAGCAAAAGAAAGAAAGAAAGAAAGAAAGAAAGAAAGAAAGAAAGAAAGAAAGAAAGAAAGAAAACAAAGAGATGGATGAATGGTTGCAGGAGAGAGAGAGAGAGAGAGAGAGAAAGAGAGAGGGAGGGAGGGAGGGAGAGAGAGAGAGATCCCATTCTCATTTTGTTCAGCCATAAAATAAATGCTAGGATTAACGTCATGTTTTGGCTTTCATATACCAGTAAAAAATTTATTTGTGAAGCTTTGTGAGACAGTACACTTTCCCTTATCACAGTGTGCATTTTTATTGTTTTGAAAATATAATTAGCAGTATATTTATCTTTAAAGTTGACCTTGGGATGAGCTCATTAAAAAAAAAAGGCTAGGCCTCTTTGGCAGCAGAGCTGAAACAATACACAACTGTTTTTGTTAGCAGAATGGGTATCGCTCAACCCCTACAAACCTATATGACATTATAACATTGTGGAGATATTATACAGTGTAATTAGGGGGTACACACAGGGAGACAGAATATAGAATACGGAATGACGGGAATTGGAAGGGAAGGGAAGATCAAAAGAGGAGGAAACAAAGCAATCTAGAAAAACTTTATATCTGAAGGATGAGATTCTGCATCATATCAGTCTCTGTATGGCTTGCACAAAAAGGTTAATAATATAATTATTTTTTTACAACTAGCTAGGTATGCCAAGCTTTGGGTAGAACTTGGTAACTAGCCATTGTTCTTAATGCTAATCAAAACTGGCTAGCTTTCATTTTGACAATTAGAATACAGAAAATCAGAGTTGGAAGGGACCCTGGAGGTCCTCTAGTCCAACCCCCTGCTCAGGCAGGAAACCTTACACGCCGTGATGGCGAACCTATGGCACGCGTGCCAGAGGTGGCACGTAGCACCCTCCTGATGGCACACGAGCCGTCGCCCCAGTTCAGCTCCCGTGGCCAGCTGGCCTTCTGGTCTCTGCAGCACATGCATGGGGGGCGGGACGCATGCGGGGGATCACATGTGCATGCACAGAGGGGCCAGGCGCATGTGTGGGGGGTGGGGTGCATGCACAGGGGGGCACATTGCATTTTGGGGGTTCAGGCGTGCACGCGCTTGGGCATTTGGTCTGGAAAAGGTTAGCCATCACTGCCCTACACCATTTCAGACGAATGGTTGTCCAATCTCTTAAAAACTTCCAGTGTTGGAGCATTCACAACTTCTGGAGGCAAGTAGTTCCACTGATTAATTGTTCTCATTGTCAGGAAATTTCTTCTTAGTTCTAGATTGCTTCTCTCCTTGATTAGTTTCCACCCATTGCTTCTTGTCCTGCCCTCAGGTGCTTTGGAAAATAGCTTGACTCCCTCTTCTTTGGGGCAGCCCCTGAGATATCGGAAGACTGCTATCATGTCTCCCCAGGTCCTTCTTTTCATTAAACTAGCCATGCCCAGTTCCTGCAACCGTTCTTCATATTTTTTAACTTCCAGTCTCCTAATCCACTTTGTTGCTCTTCTCTGCACTCTTTCCAAAGTCTCAACATCTTTTTTACATCGTGGTGACCAAAACTGGATGCAATATTCCAAATGTGATTTTACCAAAGCATTATAAAGTAATGTTAACACTTCACATCATTTTGATAACTGTGAGTGAAAAATCTGTAAATTTAACCTCATAACATAAACGTATTATATTCCCCCAAAATCTGTAAGTCCCACTGTTTATTAGAATAATTAGATCACATAATTAGCCATTTTATGGCATCCATAAAATATTAGGAAACCAGCCCTTTTCGTTATTTTGAGTTCGGTGTTTCACTTACCATGCCCAGACATAGTTTCGATGACAATATGAAGAATAAAATGCTTATTTCAAGCAACTTTACAGGTAGTCCTGTGATTTTGCTTGTCAGAAGGTCGACAAAGGAAGATCACATGACCTCAGGAGACTTCAACCGTCATATGTACATGCCAGTTGCCAAGTGTCTGTATTCTGATCACATGACCATGGGGATAACACAATATTCATTAAGTGTGAAAAATAGTCATAAGTCACTTTTTTCAGTGCCGTTGTAACTTTGAACCGTCACTAAACAAACCGTTGTTAAGTTGTCATGTTCTTATTAAGAGCTATCTTTGCCACGTAACTCTAAACTATGTAATTAAGCATCTCTTCCAGAACAACTTCTACTGCAAGGAAAAATTTAAAAAGAAATTATCCTGTTTTGACTATCGACAGCTTACAATGGACATGAATAAATTGAGGAACTGAACCACGTTTTGACTGAAATAAAGCATCTTCAAATCGCCGTCTTGCTTCAGATACTGAAGAAAATCCATTTCTAGTTAAAGTCAAGTTAAAGATTGTAAGTTAAAGCACTTACAATCTTTAAAAAGCACAAGTTTCTTGGCTAAGACCACAGTCCTTAAAGGGAGAGACAGACAAGGCATCCCGTCTGTCATGTGAAAACAAGATTTAATGACAGGATGGGGTTTTTTTTTTCCTTTTTCCCCCCTGAGCTAAATTCTGATTTTTGTAGCGAGTGAGTGGCTGGTAGGTTGGTTTTTGGCAAAGCAAGAAGCATCGGAACAAAACACGATAAAATGAAATACATCAAATTTACACCAGAAGAAATAGCATGCATATTTGTTGTCAGATCGGTGTCCAGTGTGGAAGAAGCCGTTTTAAACCGTCTGCCACTGAAGCCGTAGCCCCATATTTCAGCAGAAAAAGTGACTGTAAGGAAGAGACACCCCAACCTCTAAAGGCAACCCCCCCCTCCCCATCCCAATGTTATTTTTCGATTGCACCACCCTTTTGTCTTGCAGTGAGTCAGATCCCAGCAGCCTGAATCAGACACTCACAAAGCTATGCGGCTTGACTGGTTTTAGATCAGTGCGGTATGACGTGTAAAGCAGACCATGATGGCTTGTTCCATAAACAATGGTTACAGCAAACGGTGCACGCAAGCAACCCAAGTGCAACCAAGAGTCTGGCAGACGGCTCCCCGGGGCTTTGGTTTCAATCTGTCCTGCGTGGATTTATTGCAATGTTTTGGGTTTTTATAATCGAATAATCATCTAATCCAGGCGGTTGCGAAATCACAGAGCCTCTCAAAAAGGCTGGAAAACTGGGAAATTCCTCCTCCTGGATAGTGAAAGCCTGAAGTTCCCAGGAGGGAGAGGAGTTTTAGGCGTCTTTGGAGGGAGGGAGGGAAGGAAAGAGATGGAAGAATGAAAGAGAAGGGAGGGAGTGGAAGGAAGGAACGAAGAAGGAAGGAAGGAAAGAGGAGGGAGGGAGGAGATGGATGGAAGGAAGGAAAGAAGAGAGGAAGGGAGGGAGGAAAAGTTGGAAGGAAGGAAGGAAGGAAGGAAGGAAGGAAGGAAGGAAGGAAGGAAAGAAAAGAGAGAGGAAGGAGATGGAAGGAGAGAGGAAGGAGATGGAAGGAAAGAGAAAGGAAGAAAGAAAAAAGAGAGATGGGAAGGAGAAGAAAAGGAAGGAAGAATAAGAGAGAGAGAGAAAGAAAAAGAGAGAGAGAGAGAGAGAAAGAAAGAAAGAAAGAAAGAAAGAAAGAAAGAAAGAAAGAAAGAAAGAAAGATGAGAAGGAGAAGAAAAGGAAGGAAGGAGAATAAGAGAGAAAGAGAGAGAGAGAAAGAAAGAGAAAGAGAGAGAAAGAAAGAAAGAAAGAAAGAAAGAAAGAAAGAAAGAAAGAAAGAAAGAAAGAGATGGGAAGGAGAAGAAAAGGAAGGAAGGAGAAGAAAGAAAAGAAAGAAAGAAAGAAAATGACCCCTTCTAATGTATTTATGGGATGAATTTAGTGAGTTTTGTGCAAGTTATCCCCCCACCCACTTTTTTGGGATCAAGGCTCCCCCCACCCTGAATCCCACTGCCAGGGGTGGTTGGGGGGGGAGGGGAGATTTGGGGTCTTTAAAAAAGGTTCTTTGGGGCCTCTGCGCCCCCCCAAAAGCGCCCCAGGGGGTCCTGCCCCCCAGGCCCCCCACTCCTCCCCCACTCCTCCCCCCTCCCCGGCAATGCTGACCCCCCCCCCACACCGCCCTCCCTTCTCCCGCTTCCCCCCGCCCCGCCGGTCCGCCCCAGCCTACCTCGCAGGACTGTTGTGTGTCGAGAGAGGTAGTGGCGGGGATGGCAGACTATCGGAAAAGAGGCAGGCCCAGAGAAAGGAGACTCCTTCGCCGACTCGCCCGCCACCTCCCGGCCCGAGGACTCCGAGCGAGGCCGGCCTGGAAAGCCCCGAGACGCCACCGCCGAGCGCCGACCTCCCCTCCGCCTCAGGGACGAGAACGCCGCCCGGATTGGCCCTGCCAGGCCGCCGTCCTCCTCCTCCTCCTCCCCCCCTCCGCCTCCTCCTCCTCCTCTCTCCGCCTCCTGCGCACGGCGCGGGCGTGACGTCACCAAAGCGCGCCGCCGTCGCGGGCGCCCAGTTCTTGGTTCGGCTGATCGGCCGGTGGCGCCGCCGCCCCTCCGCAGGGGAAGGGAAGCCATGTGAGTCCCCGTCTCGCCCCCCCCCCCCCTCCCCAATCCCGCCCCGGCCCTCCCCCCCCCCCCGCCTCTAAGACTGGGTTCAGGGGGAGACTTTGGACAAAGCCCCTTCCCCCCCCCAGCCCCCCCCCACAGAGACACCATTGATCAGCCCTTTTCATCCTTCCCTCATGAGGAATAATTGCATTTCATCCTTCCAATTGCTCCCTCATGTCATTTAATGGACATAGGATACATGTCATAGTAATCCATACTCTTAAGGTAAGGTAATATAATATAATATATCAATATAATGATAATATAATATATATCTAAAATATAATAACAGCCTAATATAACATAATATAGCCTACTATAATATTAGCATAATATAATCATAGCCTAATATAACACAATATAATAGCCTTATATAATTATATATGATGTGATATAATGCAATGTAGTTTATATATCACTATAATAACAGCCTAATATAACATAACACAATATAATAGCCTAATATATGAAGTGATATATCATATCACATATCACATATCAATATATGATGTAATATATGTTGTGATATAATGCAATGTAGTTTATAAATATATAACTATAATAACAGGCCTAATATAACATAGTATCGTAGCCTAAGATATTAACAGATATAATATAATAACAGCCTAATATAACGTAACACAGTATAATAGCCTCATATAATTATATATGATGTGATATAATGCAATGTAGTATATAAATATATAATTGTAATAACAGCCTAATATAACATAGTATCGTAGCCTAAGATATTAACAGAATATAATATAGAATAACAGCCTAATATAACGTAACACAATATAATAGCCTCATATAATAATATATGATGTGATATAATGCAACGTAGTATATAAACATATAACTATAATAACAGCCTAATATAACGTAACACAATATAATAGCCTAATATATGAGTGATATATGATATCACATATCATACATCACATATCAATATATGATGTGATATATGATGTGATATAATGCAATGTAGTTTATAAATATATAACTATAATAACAGCCTAATATAACATAGTATCGTAGCTAAGATATTAACAGAATATAATATATAATAACACAGCCTAATATAAACGTAACACAGTATAATTGCCTCATATAATTAATATATATTTATATATATAATTATAAATATATAATTATGCAGCCGCGCGGGTGATTATGGGAGCGACATGGCGCTCACATGTAACACCTCTCCTACGCAAGCTGCACTGGCTCCCGGTGGTCTTCCGTGTGCGCTTCAAGGTGTTGGTTCTTACCTTTAAAGTGCTCCATGGCTTAGGACCTGGGTACCTACAAGACCACCTTCTGCAACCGATAATCTCCCACCAACCAGTACGCTCCCACAGAGTGGGCCTCCTCAGGGTGCCGTCAGTAAAGCAATGTCGACTGGTGGTTCCCAGGGGGAGAGCCTTTTCTGTGGGAGCACCTACCCTTTGGAACAGGATACCCCCAGGGATACGAATGATCCCAGATCTCCGTACTTTACATCGTGCACTGAAGACCTTTCTGTTCCACCAAGCCGGGCTGGCATAAATTTTCAAATTGTCTAAATTCTATGCTGAGGATCTTAACTGATGAGCCAAATTGGTTTAATTATTTTAAATTGTTTTTATTTCACATTATATGTATGTTATTCTGACTGTTCACCGCCCTGAGACCTTCGGGAGAAGGGCGGTATAAAAATTAAATTAATAATAATAATAATAATAATAATCATCATCATATTAATAATAATATATGATGTGATATAATGCAATGTAGTATATAAATATATAACTGTAATGCCTAATATACCATAGTGTCATAGCCTAAGATATTAACACAATATAATATATAACAGCCTAATATAACATAACACAATATAATAGCCTAATATAATTATATATGATGTGATATAATGTAATGTAGTATATAAATATATAACTGTAATAACAGCCTAATATAACACAGTATCATAGCCTAATATATTAACACATAATATATAATAACAGCCTAATATAACATAACACAATATAATAGACTAATATAATTATATTACTGTGTTTTCCCGAAAATAAGACCCTGTCTTATATTTTTTTGAACTCTGAAATAAGCGTTTGGCCTTATTGCCATGCACTCAAAAGTCCGATTGGGCTTATTATCAGGGGATGTCTTATTTTGGGGGAAACAGGATATCTATGATGTGATATAATGTAATGTGATATATCATATAATATAAATATATAATATAATATAACATAACTATAACAGCCTAATATAACATAATATAGCCTAATATAATAGCCTAATACAATATTAACACAATATAATATATAATAACAGCCTAATATAATATAGTATCATAGCCTAATATAATAGCGTAATAATATTAACACAATATAATATATAATAACAGCCTAATATAATTATAATATATGATGTGGTATGATATAATGTGAACTGAAGACGTGGCTCTTCCGTCAAATAACCTGATCTGCTAGGGGTTGCACAAACTGTAATAATTTTAAATATGGTTTTTAAGGGGTTTTTAACTTATTTTGTGATTTTGTGATTTGTATTATTGATTGTTGTTGTAAGCCGCTCTGAGTCCTTCGGGAGAATGGCGGCATATAAATCGCAAAAATAAATAAATAAATATAATTAATGTAATATAATATATATAATATACTATACCAGTAATATAATATGCCGGTAATATAATATATAATATGTAATAACCTAACATAATATAATTAATAACAGCCTAATATAATGCAGTATAATACATAATAAAAAGTAAAAAGTACAGTATTTTCAATATTAAGCAAAAATGAAGAACACAGAGGCATAACCTGAAACTGACAGGAAGGAAGTTCAAAAGTCACATTCGAAAATATGGCTTTACAGAAAAAGCAGCGGAAGCAGCTCGGAACCAACTTCCTGTGGAGATAGTGGGTCAATCAATCAATCAGAAACTGAGTTTAAACATGCTTGGGATAAATACATGTCCATCACATTACATCCAACAAAAATTCTATGTGTGTGTACTTAATTAAAAAGAAAACAAAAAACAGATACAAAAGGGCAAATAAACTTTATGAACCAACCATTACATCTTTTTCTGCCGTCTATTTTCTATGTTTCTTATTTTTAAAAAAAATCCTACTATTTTCTTTCCAATATCTCTTTTTCCAGGGCTGATTACTGGAAATCTCAGCCCAAGAAATTCTGTGATTATTGCAAGTGCTGGATAGCAGACAACAAACCGGTATGATGAACTTCTGATTAAATCTAAGTCCTGGGATTTGGGTTTTAACATTTTAAATTTAAGCTTCATCAGATAACATTTGATATTTGGTTAGTGTCCTAGCCTTTTTTCTTGTGGCTGGCAGGGTAGAATAAATGTAGGCAATATAGACTAATGCCTGTATTTAATGTTTAATATCTTCAGGTTTAGTTGGATCTGGATTCTTGGGATTAAATTTGGAACTTTGCTTGTTCATTTTGGTGTCACCTTTATTTAAGAGCTGAAACATTCCTCATACAAATTTATACGGTTTAGGGCACCTTTTAAAATCACCTAAAATGCTTGCAGGAATAAAATGGCATTGAAACCATTCCTGGTCAGATTCTTTGAAAAATTAGACGTTCTTCAAACAGGGTTTGAAAGTTGAAATATTTACCTTAGCTGCCTCAGGTAGATGTGCTTAGCTTCAGTATTTAAACGTAGTTGTAAAGTTTATTTTTCTCTAATTTAGGAATGTCTCTTCCTTTTTTTACAGAGCATCGATTTCCACGAAAGAGGGAAGAACCACAAGGAAAATGTGGCGAAGAAAATTAGCGAGGTAACTTGCCTGCCACCTCCTTGAACCTGACCGGAATGTTTTTTAAAACCCCGCGTCACGCATTCCTGCTCCATCTTCTTTTTAAATTGCAGATTAAGCAGAAAAGCTTGGACAAGGCGAAAGAGGATGACAAAAGGGCAAAGGAGTTTGCGGCCATGGAGGAAGCAGCCACAAAGGCCTATCAAGAAGATTTGAAAAGGCTCGGATTGAAGGCAGGTAGGACTATCGAATCGAAAAATCATCATTGGCAATTTCAAGTAGCCTCCCTTGACTCGAATATACAGAATCCATAAAAATACAGTTAGCCTGTATTTTTAGTGACCGTTCGAAGTTACAATGGCACCGAAAAAAACTGATTTAGGACCATTTTTCACACTTACGACCATTGCAGCCTCCCCCTGATCACGTGATCAAAATTTTGGAAGCTTGGCAACTGGCACGTACCTACGACAGTTGCAATGTCACGTGATTTTTGCGACCTTCTGACAAGCCAAGTCAATGGGGAAGCCAGATTGACTTCACAGCCACGTTACTAACTTAACAACTGCAGTGATTCACTGAACAACCGTGGTAAGAAAGGTCGTAAAATGGGGCAAACTCAATGAGCAAATGTCTCTCATTTAGCAACAGACGTTTTGGACTCAGTTGTGGTCATAAATCAAAGACTACCTGGGATAATATTCCAGTTTGGTATCATTTTGCAGGTAGTACCCTTACTATTCAATTCAATTCAAATCTTTATTGTCAGTGCACAACATCTGTACAATGAAATTGATTGAGCTCCCTCAGTGCACACACACCCTCAACACAATAAAACTCACAGTGAAGACAGAAAATCCCTAACCCAATAAATCATATTAACAAAACACTCAGTCCTATTGCACCAGTGTGAACATGTTACACGTTGCGCCGGCCCTGCAGTCCATCATACTACTAGCAATACATGACTTAAGTCTTAAGAAAAGATCCATAGGTCTAGCAGAACTTGCTTTGTTGAATTACACCATCTTCCACTTGGCACACATTGCTAGAGTTTCAGAGATTTGAAATTGAATATTCATTATTCAAACGGTTGGGTTAGTTGTCTAGCTGTGAGGTTCTCTTAGAATTTCTCAGGTGGGCTTTAAAATCTAATATTCCGTGTCTCAGAACCTGTAGGACAGCCTTCCTTGCCGATAAAACAGGAAGAAAAGAAGGAGAAAAAGGAGAAAAAAGAAGAGAAAAAAGAAAAGGAGAAAAAAGAAAAGAAGAAAAAAGAAAAACAAACTAAGGGAGTTTCATCCAATGAAACAACGGAATGGGTGCGAGGATTTTCTCCAGAAGGCTACATTTATTATTACAACACAAAATCTGGAGGTAAATTTGCAGCTAATCTCCTTTTATAAATCATGTATCCAAAAACCATAGAAGTTATCATCAAAACACAACACAAAATGATATTCAGCAATAGATTTCTCTCTTATTTTACGATTGCTATTTATTCTTCCTCTCTATATCCTTTTATTATATATCACCAAACTAGCAGGAATAGCCAACACTCCGGAGGATAGGCTTAAGATACAGAAGGATCTTGACAGACTTGAACATTGGGAGCTATCTAACAAAATGAAATTCAGTGGTGAAAAAAGTAAGGTTCTACATTTAGGCCAGAAAAACCAAATGCACAGGTACAGTATAGGTTGTACCTTGTTCAATAGTAGTAACTGCGAGAGGGATCTTGGAGTCCTAGTGGACAACCATTTAAATATGAGCCAGCCGTTGCAGCAGCTGCCAAAAATGCCAACACAGTTCTAGGCTGCATAAACAGGGATAGAATCAAGATAATGTGAAGGGTTAATGCCATTTTATAAGGCCTTGGTAAGGCCACACTTGGGAAAATGGCATCCAGTTTTGGTTGCCACAATGTAAAAAAAATGTTGAGGCTGTACAAAGAGTGCAGAGAAGAGCAACAAAGATGATTAGGGGACAGGAAGCTACAACATAAAGAACGGTTGCAGGAACTGAGTATGTCTACTTTAATGAAAAGAAGGATTAGGGGAGACATTATTATTATTATTATTATTATTTATTTGATTTGTATACCGCCCTACTCCCGAAGGACTCAGGGCGGTGAACAGCCAAACAATAAAATACATAGATACAAAAAATTTAAAAAACCAGATAAAATCGAATTAAATAATTTTGGCCCTGACAAATTAAAACATCCCAATAATTTAAAGCAGATTAAAATTTACATATTAAAAAAGAGGGAAAGGATTAGGCCAAGCCCGCCTGGTGGAATAAAAAGGTCTTCACAGCGCGGCAGAAGGTGCGCAGGTCTGGGATCCTTCGTATCTCCGGGAGGAGCTCATTCCAGACAGTAGGTGCCCCCACAGAGAAGGCCCTCCCCCTAGGGGCCGCCAGTCGACATTGTTTGGCTGACGGCACCCGGAGGAGTCCCTCCCGTACCGGCCGGTGAGAGGCTGTTTGTGGTAGTAGGCAGTCCCGTAAATAACCAGGTCCTAAGCCATGGAGCGCTCTAAAGATGGTGACCAAAACCTTGAAGCGCACCCGGAAGACCACCGGGAGCCAGTGCAGCTCGCGCAGGAGAGGTGTCACATGGGAGCGCCATGTTGCTCCCATAACCACCCGCACAGCCGCACTCTGCGCCAGTTGGAGCCTCCTGGTGCTCCTCAAGGGGAGCCCCATGTAGAGAGCGTTACATGATACCAGTCTTCCAATATCTCAGGATCTGCCACAAAGAAGAGGGAGTCAAGCTATTCTCCAAAGCACCTGAAGGCAGGACAAGAAGCAATGGGTAGAAACTCAATCAAGGAGAGAAGCAACTTAGAACTAAGGAGAAATTTCCTGGCAATGAGAACAATTAATCAGTGGAACAACTTGCCCGCAGAAGTTGTGAATGCTCCAACACTGGACGTTTTTAAGAAGAGATTGGGCAACCATCTGTCTGAAGTGGTGTAGGGTTTCCTGCCTAAGCAGGGGGTTGGACTAGAAAACCTCCAAGGTCCCTTCCAACTTATTCTATATCTAATACTGCATGAATGATTTTTTTTTTCCTGGATCCCAAATTAAAGTCTTTTTTTAAAACTTTTTTTAATTATTTTTAAGAATCACAGTGGGAGAAGCCAGAAGGATTTCAGGACACCGCTCAGAATTCTGAAACGGTAACTGAATGCTTATTTATTATTATAGCTATCTCAAAAAAAAATCTGTCTTCATTATTTAAAATGTATTCTCAGTTCATTGAAAAATTAGTTTCCTTGAATCTGTTCTGAATGGATATGATTGGGAATACAGTTATCTTTAAGAACGCATTTATCAGACAGAAGTCTATAGTTTATGTAAAGTCCTTTAAGAGCATTATTTCCGACATGTAGGGGGGGGGGATTCTGCAATAATTGAATTTTATTATTGCCAAAAAGGAAGGAAGCTTATAATGGCTAAGTTATGATGTTTCATTTTTAAATGAACGTATCTTTACGGCACCTCGGATGAGGTAAAATAAAATCAGCCTATGATGAGAAATGGGTGAGACTTTAATCAGATTTATCCTTTGCTTTTCAGGAAGCAGTTTGGATAGAAGGGACAGACGACGAAGGCCACACCTATTACTATAACACGGAGACTGGAGGTGAGAGGTTTTACTCGGGGCCGCTACTTAAGACCCAAAGCCACATCTATTCGACAAGGAATGTTTAACTGTAGGTAAAAGAGAGAGGCAACGAACACGTTTGACATTTGGAGAATTTGCCTAAATGCTCTCACAAAATGGCTCCCACAAGGGATGTGGCCCATTCAATCTTCCTACCCCCAGAAACCATTTATAGGAATGTTTACCTCCCTCCCTTTGATCTCTCCCTTTCTTTCTTTCCTTCCTTCCTTCCCTTCCCTATCTCCCTCCCTTTCCTCTCTCCCTTCCTTTCCCCTTCCTTCTTTCCTTCCCTATCTCTCTTTCCTTTCCCCTTCCTTCCTTCTTTCTTTCCTTCCTTCCTTTCCTTCTCTCCTTTCCTTTTCCATCTCCCTTTCTTTCCTTTCCTTTCCCCTTCTTCCTTTCCTTCCCTATCTCTTTCCTTTCCCCTTCCTTCTTTCTTTCCTTCCTTCCTTTCCTTCTCTCCTTTCCTTCCCCATCCCCTTTCTTTCCTTTCCTTTCCCCTTCTTCCTTTCCTTCCCTATCTCTTTCCTTTCCCCTTCCTTCTTTCTTTCCTTCCTTCCTTTCCTTCTCTCCTTTCCTTCCCCATCTCCCTTTCCTTCCTTTCCTTTCCCCTTCTTCCTTTCCTTCCCTATCTCTTTCCTTTCCCCTTCCTTCTTTCTTTCCTTCCTTTCCTTATCTCCTTTCCTTCCCCATCTCCCTTTCCTTCCTTTCCTTTCCCCATCTCCCTTTCCTTCCTTTCCTTTCCCCTTCTTCCTTTCCTTCCCAGAACAACTAGACACAAGAACAGTTTTTTCCTGAACACCATCTCTCTCCTAAACAAATAATTTCCACAACACTGTCAAACTATTTACTAAATCTGCACTACTATTAATCTTCTCATCATTCCCACCACCCATCTCCTTCCACTTATGACTGTATGACTATAACCTTGTTGCTGGTATCCTTACGATTTATATTGATTGTTTCTCTCAATGGACTGTGGAATGGTCCAGAAGTGGGTTGATACAGTGCAATCTGCCGAGAGCCTGAGTTATAATTTTGCTGGCCATGCCCCCAGTCGTGTCCGTTGGGCCCAGTTTTCGACTCAGTCGTCTGACATATACTATTCTATTCTATTCTATTCTATTCTATTCTATTCTATTCTATTCTATTCTATTCTATGCTATTCTATTCTATTCTATTCTATTCCCTCCTTTTCCTTCCCTGTCTCCCTTTCCTTCCTTTTCCCTTCCTTCCTTCCTTCCTTCCTTTCCTTCCCTCCTTTCCTTCCTTCCTCCCTTCCCTTAAATAAACTATTTGTTCGGTTTCCCGTCTCTCAAATCTGCAGTCTTAAATCCTTACATCTGGCATGTAGAGGCTTCTTCTTACTTTTAGAGATTGCTGCTCTAATATTTATTGCATCGTTTACTTTATATATTGAGGCTCTGTTTTTAAAAACCAGTGTAACAAAATGAAATAACAAAAAATAAGCTACAGAAGTCCAACCTTGATTTTTGATGGGGTCCAGCAGTTTTAATAGGGATCTAAGAGTATCTCTTAGGTTCGTGAAATGTGAAACAAAACATTTATTTAATCTTATTAATTTGGTCCCACTGAAACATACATTAGGGCCTTTATGTGTTGGGTTCTATTTCTGGCATTTCAGATTTTCAGAAAGCTAATTTCCAGACTGGTCACATACCGTATTTTTTGGAGTATAAGACACTCTGGACAATAAGAAGCACCTACCTTTTTTGGTGAGGAAAACAAAAAAAAGAAATCTCCCTCTGCCTCTGAGCAATTTTGCCTCGTTGCAGCAAACAGCCTGCATTACTTTCATTTTCGTTTTCAGCATAGCTTGATTAGCACAAGGAAAAAAAAATCTGCTCCCAGCAATTTACCTCCTTGCAGCAAGCAGCAGAGGCCCCCGCAAAACAGCTGAGAGCAAAACAGCTGAGAGTTGGGAGGCCGATCCAATCAACTTGTGCTAATTTGGCTGTGCTGAAACTGAAATGAGCTGTTTCTTCTTGCTGCTTGCTGCAAGGAGGTAACTTGTTGGGAGGCAGAGGCCAAAGGGTGGTGGCCGGTAGGTGGGCGGGGCTACATTCGGTGTATAAGACGCATCTAAATTTTCACCCCCTTTTAGGGGGGGAAGGTGCGCCTTATACTCCGAAAAATACAGTATGTAACATTTTGTTCGCTTTTACTTAGTGTCAACGTGGGAGAAGCCTGAAGGTTTCGTATCTTTTTCCATAAAGAATAATCCAGATGAAAACTCTTCTGAAGAGATCAGCAAAAACGAATCACCAAAGGTGATATTTATTACCTCCAGCTAATAAATATTAATACCGTATGATTTTTATATGTGTCCTACAATGGCCATCTATGAATGTTTCCACGTTCCTTGATTGGGTTACTGTTTTCTTGATTGTTGGTCTAGAATTAATCTTGGTGTTAATACCTATTTATCTGGGTGTTAATTGTTGGCAAGGAGGTGTTTTGGGTTTTTTGTTTCTTTTCTTGGGGTTTTGGTTGTCTCTTTTCAATGGTATGTAAATGTTCTTTATCTCTATGTGCCTGTTGATAACTGTTTTGTGTGAAAGCCAGACTCCCACAAATTCTTTAATGTTTTTGGACTTGGTTTGGTCTCAAATGTTCACAGTTTCCAATTGAAATTACATTCAAATCTGTCCATGTGTTGTGCAATTAAGGAGACTATTGCAACGAGCATGTAGTTCTGCAGTTGGATTGTCCTAAAAGGAAGATCGGTCTATCATTATATTGCAGTTAGAGGCATAAAGACACACAGCATAGTTACAGCTTATATTTATCATTAATAGCCATTACTAAGAAAATACTGCAAATTGTATCAGTAAAATTAGGGAGAGAAGCTTGAATAAACTCAAGAGAGTGGTTGAAAAATTGATCTTCTTATCGCCAAGATTGTATACTCACTGAATATAAAAATCCAAATATCTTAACTTTGGGCTTCTTCTTTTTTCTTCAAAGAAAGTAATCATATTGTCCTAGGGGATAATCACTTAAAATAAATGGGAGCCAGCCGTGTGCAGCAGCTGCCAAAAAAGCCAACACAGTTCTAGGCTGCATAAACAGAGGGATAGAATCAAGATCACGTGAAATGTTAATACCACTTAATAATGCCTTGGTAAGGCCACACTTGGAATCCTGCCTCCAGTTTTGGTCGCCACGATGTAAAAAAGATGTGGAGACTCTAGAAAAAGTGCAGAGAAGAACAACAAAGATGATTACAGGACTGGAGACTAAAACATATAAAGAACAGTTTCATCTTTTTGATGAAAAGAAGGATCTGGGGAGACCTGATAGCAGTCTTCCAATATCTCAGGGGCTGCCACAAAGAAGTGGGAGTCAAGCTATTCTCCAAAGTACCAGAAGGCAGGACAAGAAGCAATGGATGGAAACAACCTAGAACTAAGGAGAAATTTCCTGACAGCAAGAACAATTAATCAGTGGAACAACTTGCCTGCAGAAGCTGTGGGTGCTCCAACACTGGAGGTTTTTAAGAAGAGATTGGACAGCCATCTGTCTGAAGTGGCATAGGGTTTCCTGCCTGAGCAGGGGGTCAACTAGAAGACCTTCCAACTCTGTTATTCTATTCCAGAGGTCTGTTCCAGGGGTCTCCAAACTTGGCAACTTTAAGACTTGTGGAATTCCTCAGCCAGCAAAGAATTCTGGGAGTTGAAGTCCACAAATCTTGATGTTGCCACGTTTGGAGACCCTTGTTCCATTCCATTTCTATTCTATTCTATTCTTACATCATTGCATAACAGGATGTTCCCTCTCTTGTTTCTCAGAGGAAGACAGGCAGCAATGAAGAGAAGCCTCGCAAACCCAGAAAGATCAGCCCTTACGGAGAGTGGCAGGAGGTGAAATACGAGAATGCTGACCGCAAGAAGAGCCCATCTGTTCCATCCGTAACCTCTTCGTCTCAGAAGCCCCTCTCTTTCGGCAAATGGGAGGAAATCACGGAAGAAGAAGCATAGTAAGTCCTGCTTTATCCACCTGGAAGCCAGTGACAGCTAGATTTGGGCAGCGTGACACCGATAATCCCAGTGTCCAAATTACATTGCATTATACATATTTTTTCTGGTTCCTGGTTAATAGTTATAGTATGAACTGAGGTGCTGAAGATATTGTCTTTGCAAGGAACTGTCAGATTTTGTTGCAAAAATCAAATCCAGAAAGCACACACAGGCAGATTGATGCAGCATGATTCATCAACTTCTTTATATACATAATAATACATGAAGATGAATGTACAATACCAATGTAGAAGATTCTTCCAACGTAGCAGTTACAAGCAAAACACAAGGCAGGAGAGAACAGTTAGTTTCATTTCAGCAGAGTGGACTAGTTTCAGTTTCTCTGCACAGACTCAGAAGCTGCAGACTAAGACACGCCCTGGCTCCAGTCTATATCAGCTCCCATTGGCTGACTTAGTTGCTATACCTATTCATTGGCTGACCTTGTTACCATGTCTCTGCCAGTTCATGAATAATCTGACAGGAATCTGCTTAATAGGTATATATAGGGGGACACCATGCATTTGGGTCGTATCTTTTATTTACAATACCAACCTGCCTAAGCACTTACTGCTGTAAGGGAGATGGGTGATTTAGAAAGAGTAGAGTGGAAGGGGAAGGGAGAGGAGAGGAGAGGAGAGGAGAGGAATGAGAGAGAGAAAAATGAGATAGACATAGATATAAACAGATGATATAGACAAGATAGAAAGAAATGAGATAGATGATAGATAGAGAGATAGAGAGATGATAGATAGATAATAGAGATAAACAGATGATAGATATATAGTCAGATGATAGAGATAGAGGTAGCCAGATGATAGACAGACAGATAGATAGACAAGTGATAGACAGACAGATAGACGATGAATGGACGGACAGACAAACAAGCATGACCTATCTTATAAACATAGACATATAAACATTGTGAGAATTTAAAGTAAAATTGAAAAGTAACATTTTGGGGAATAGGGCATTAGCTGGAGAAAAGAGATTGTGCATCCTTAAAACACCCTTCAAACCTACCACTTCAGAGTAATTTACTCTTCAGAAGGTTTGACATCCACCTGGACTTAATTTTACTTTAAACCAGAATGGTCAAAGAATGGTCATTTAAGGAAGTTTGATTCTTTTCACCGACTTCTTTTACCTACACATTCTGCTCGTTTGTCCTCCTTCAGAGATTTTAAATTTTCGGTTTTTGAGAAGAACGAGGGGGAAAACAAAAGTTCTCATTTTATGCGCAACGGTAGATACGGGCAGGATTGCCTTCTCGTAGCCCAGTGAGAACCTTTGCATTTGTGAAGATAACACCTTTTTTATTGAGCAAGATAATTCTCTGTACGCTGCCCTGAGTCACTCGCGAGAGGGAGATGGACGGTCTCTAAATGTGATCAATAAAATTTGTCCCCAAAATAACCCCCTCCCTTCTGATATCTGCCATTATTAATAGCTAGAGCTATGCAAACTTCTCTCTGACGGTTATAACATTTGTGAAATTCGCTGGTCACAACCTTCTTTCTGTTTTCAGGAAACACTTGCGTTAAAAGAAGTGAGTGGTGCGTTGGCCCAAAGGTGTAGCTCTCACCTCACAATCAGGAGGCTGTGAGTTCAATCCTAGGTAGAGACAGATATTTCTCTCTCTGGGCACAAGGAGAATATATCTGCTGAACAGAACTCCGCATTGGCGACAGGAAGGGCATCTGGCCAGTTAAATACTCTGTTAGCTCCATTCAGGCTCCACCTCGCAAGGGATTATGGGGTCATTAAAAGAGGATGACTTGAGTTAAATGATGTTTATATATATCCAGGCACCCTGGTACCTGAGCCAGTTTTATTTTCAAACAACTTTTGTTCAACAAATTTTTCATTTTCCTTTAGTGAGAAGGTCGACTTGGAGCTTCCAAGTAAGGAGAGCAACAGCGCCCCAGTTGTAGAAATACCAGACGACGCCAAAGTGATCTTCAAAGAAAAAACCGTCACTTCCCTCGGCGACACCACGGAAGCGATGCCGGTTTTCAGAAAGCGGAAATTTGAAAACGGGAAATCTCGAAACATTCGGCAGAGGCTGAGCGATCACTAACATCCTGGCTGCATTGTCAAAAAAAAAAAAAAAAAAAACACTTTTGAGGACAAGAAAACGAAAGGACGCCGGGAAAAGACAGACTGTTTAAACAATTCCTTCACAAGACACGACTGTAAAAGCCGATTTTTAGAGCTCATCGTTTTTCAAACAGTGTCTTGGGTTTAAAATGTACATAATATTTGTTTTCCTCCCCCAAGTTATGTTATTTTAGTTTGTTGGGTTTCTTTTTTCCCCCTTTGTGAGGTCGTGTAAATATATTTTTTAAATAGCGGGTCAAAGGCGGTTCAGCATACCTTACAAAGGAGCATATTGTTGTGAATCCTTTTCCAAGAAAAATAAACGCAGTTACTTGCTTAACGACGTCTTTGTAAATTTTAGCAAATGCTGGGTTGCAAGGAGAGCAAACGTAAAATACCGCAGCTGTAAGCTATGAAACATCGGTATCACGCATAAATTCCAGTTCAGAAGATTTTATCACTCAAGCCTATAAACAAAAATTTAATCAACTAATGGTCAGGATTAAATTGATGCCGGATTAAGAGTTAACAGAATTCAGGAGTGATTGGACTCGGAAAATTTGTGGAGATATAACGATTCTAGGCTACGTCCTCTCTTGACTCCACCCCAGTGGTGAAATGCAATTTTTTTGCTACCGGTTCTGTGGGTGTGGCTAGGTGGGCTTAGCTTGGTGGTGGTCATGTGACTGGGTGGGCGTGACAATTCTTTTTTTTTTTCTGCCTCCGACGCAGAGCCCTCGTCCGGGCCTTCCCCAGACTCCAGGACTGGCCCATGTTCCTCCCCAGCCTCCTCGCTGTCCGACTCCGCTGCCAGCTCTGCAGGCTGCAGGCGAACCACAACATGGTCATTTGCATATGTGTGTGTAGAACAGTGGGGAAAAAAAATCAATTCGCCCAACCGCACGTTCCCAGCTAAGGTCAAACAAAGTGACCCTCTGCCGCCTTATTTCAGCTCTCGTGCAACACGATTTATTAGTGCAATTAAAACATTTAATAACAAAATTATATTCCCAGCAAATCTTTGGTTTTCCATTCTTAGCTTTCGTGCTAAGAGCAGGTGTTCCTTTTAGAATATCGATAACAGAAGCAGAAAAAGTTTAAAACTGCAAATATTACTTGGCTTTTAAATTAAAATAATTTTCAGGATTGTGACTTGAAAACACAGATTAGGGGATCATCCCTAATTTAACCCTTTCACTAAAACTAATAAAATCTCAAGTTACCTTGTTTATACAGTTTGTATATGCAGTAAAACTGGATGACCATTTTCAAGAATGCATTGGACTTCCTTTGAAATGTATGTTCTCCTTCACTGGCACAAAATGTAGTATTATACAACAGTTGCTAACAAAAGTTTTCAGATGTATTCAGTCATGGGTAACAAATAGCTTAAAGCCCGTTAAAAATTAACATTAGTTTTGTTGTAGTTTGGTGTCTAGCAACCCTCGGATATATTCAGATAAGCGTCTTGACATAAATCAGTTTTCTCTAGTTGCTAGTCAAAGCTGACTTTTGCACAGGGACCTAAGAAATACTTGACATTGAAGAAGAAGAAAAGCAACTATTGAATTAAAACCAACAGGTAAGTAAGAAAGAAACTTGGATGATCTTGCATGAAAAAAGTACTTTTTATTCTTTTACCATTTTAATGATGCGATGGGACTCACTGCCTTTAGAAATATTTGCAGAGTTGCGTTCTCAGAATCCCCAAGCTATCTTTTAAAGGAAGGAAATTCAGTTTGTATATGCAGCATAAATTCATCTAGTCCAGTCTATACTAGCAGGAGACCTATACTAGGGATTCGAACTGCCAACCTTTCTGATCGACAAGCTCAGTGTCTTAGCCACTGAACAGGATTCAGCCCTATGTGATTCCACCAGAAAACCCATTACGTTGAATTTTATAGACTGCCTTTAAACATGTTTTAAGATTGAGAACGCTACCATAAAACGCTAAGTTACGATTCCTTCCCTTTTATTGTTTTTTTTCCCCATTGGTAAAGCCAGTCTTTGAAGAATTGTTCTTTGCAATGAAAGGGTTATCAAAATAATTAGGATCAATTTATTTAACTGTGACACCAAACGTAATTAAGAAGACATTACTTCTTTAAAAAATACATGTTTCTCATTGCAGATAGAGGAAAGCTAAGCTCCTGTATGGTATCTAACTATCAGGAAACAGGCTTTTTATTAGACTAATCAATTCGATTAAAAGGCAGGCACTTCCACACCTTTTAATAAAATGGATTTCTGTCTGAAGAAGTGCTACCAGACTCCTCCTGATTTACTGATAAAAATAATGACCTGGGAACGACGCATGGCAATAAATTTTAATAGAAATCGAAACTCCTTTATTCCTATCCAGCTTTCCTCTTGAATCAAAGCACCTGGTGGTTCCTGAACCAGAATGCCAAACAAAGCCCAAGAGGTAAGCCCAAAATATTTTATTTTGTCAGAATCCTTCTTTGGAATCAAACACATCTAATTATTTTAAGTATGAGACGCCTAAGTTTTGAGCTGAATTTGTGGCTAGCAAATGGTAGTGTGGTGCCATCAGAAACAGTAAGAAATGTGGGTTTTTCTTAAAAAAAAATAATTCTAAACTGTGTGGGGTTTTTTTTACTGTTCCTTATAAGGAGCAGGGGCGCTAATAGGGAAAAAAACCCGCATTTCTTAGTATTTTTTAATTGTTCTAGTGTTATAAAACTTACAGAATGCATTCTATTGTTGGCATACATGGTGTTTATACAGTGTTAATTAAAGATTGTCAACACTAATCCTTAGGCCATTAAGGGAGGGAAGGGGAGGGAAGGAAGGGAAGGGAAGGGAAAGGAAAGGAAAGGAAAGGAAAGGAAAGGAAAGGAAAGGAAAGGAAAGAAGGAAAGGAAAGGAAAGGAAAGAAGGAAAGGATGATTGAGATAGAAGGAAGGGAAGAAAGGAAAGAAAAGGGAAGGAAGGAAGGGAAATCAATGCTAATTAAAATTTAAATGTCAATGTTAATGAGCTTAAGATTGCACAAATATTTTGATGCAATTTGCAGCAGTTTTTTAAATGTTATATTAAAATTCTGGATACTTTTTTTTTTTTTTTAAATAAGGAGGTAAGGAGAACAGAAAGCAATTCATCTGAATCCGTGGTTTTCAAACTCGGCAACTTTAAGATGTATGGATTTCCACTCCTAGATTTCCCCAGTCAGCATGGCGGCTAGAGAATCCTGGGAGTTGAAGTCCACGCTTCTTAAAAGTCCCCAAGTTTGAAAAAAACATTGATTTGAATGTTAAAAAGTAGGGAGTGGTTTTGATTCTTCATACCGCTGCTTTTATGGTAGGCTTATCTGTCAAAATTGCATATTTGTGGGCTTGTCTGTTAAAGTTAGGCTTGGTAGGCTATGTGGTAGGGTTGAAAACATTGTAAAAGTTATTTATTGGCTTGAATGAGTGGAGACATAAGAGAAAGTCCAAGGAGAACCTGATTTATAGAGGAATTTCCTCTTTGCCTCTACCCTTTACTTGGTCAGGATGAAGCCCCACCTTAGAAAAATGCTTAAGAGGAATATATTATGTCATTCCAGCCTCTAAGTCATTGGGGTTTGGGGAATAACGGAACTGCAACTCTGATTCTGACACCCTTTTGACTCCATCAAGTGCCTGACCGTGTTCTACGGATGTCATATCAATTACTAGGATGCCGTCATCAATCTCCAGTCCCTCCGAGATCTTGGCAAGCAACTGAGCTTCGAGTGGCCCATGGTAGCGTATGAACTGGGATTCACTCGGGCTGAAATTAGCCAGATCCATGCCCTCACCCCAGAGAAGAAAAGTCAGGCTCAGAAGATGCTGGAACACTGGTAAGACTTTGGCTTTGGCATAAGTTCTTGAGAGCTGTACTTATTATTTTTCAAATTCATCTGGAATTATCCTGATCCAAGGTGGGTGAGTGGGTAGGTGGATGGATGGATGGATGGATGGGTGACTGGATGGATGGATGGATGGATGATGGATTGGTGATGGATGGATGGATGGGTGAGTGGATGGATGGATGGATGGATGGATGGATGGATGGATGGATGGATGACTGTATGACCTGTCAGACTTCGATGCTATCTCATAATAAATGAATTTCCAAACTGCCAATCTTTAAGGAAATCTTCTCTTTAATTGAGCACAGCAACCGGATCATGACTCGATGCGGACAAGACTGACCTTTTGCCCCCAATCCCTCCCTTTCCGATCCCCAATTATCTGCTTCTCATTGGCTATCTTCCAAGTCACTCCACTGACTTCTTGTCTCGTCATTTCACAGGAATGTCTCCCCCCTCCTCATTTCCACCACGACCGGGCTTCAAAGGGATTTAGCAGGCAAAAGTTCAGGGCTTATCTCTCTCCTCTCTATGCCAGCGGTGAGACGCTGACAGACTGGATGGATGGATGGATGGATGGATGGATGGATGGATGGATGGATGGGTTGGAAGGGTGAGTGGGTGGTGGTTGGATGGTGAGTTTGGTTGTTTTCTTGCAGACATTTCATGACCCACCTAGGTAACATCACCAGCGCTAGTAAGGAGTGAGGTTTGCCTTACTAGCACTGATGATGTTACTTAGTTGGGTCATGAAACATCTGCAAGAAAACAAGCCAGCTCAGAAAACCCCAAGGACCCCACAGTCCTCCTCCTCCTCCTGGCCCACACTTCCTTCTAGCACTGATGATGTTACCTAGGTGGGTAATGAAATGTCTTCAAGAAATCAGCCAAGCTCAGAGAGCACCCAAGAACCCCTCTCTTAGTTCTGCATTTCTGAGTTCATGAGTTTATGCTTTACAGGTCCTTTATTACTTCTTTGACAGTGTATTAACCTTGAAAAAGTTATAGCCTGGTTTTACATTTTTTTTTAGTCCTCTGATTTTACCAGCTTGCCTCAGGAATGGAGAAGGGCCTTTTGAAATATTCCAGATGTGTAAAGCTTGACCTGACCAAAGAAATTAGCTCCAGAAGAGAGTATGTAGAGGAATAGAGTGGTTTTGAACATGGAAGAATGCTTCTTGCTCAAACCAGCTTGGAAGCCATCAATATAAATCCACCTCTCTATATTTTTTGCTAGTTATCTTGAGGAAGGAGCCATGCGGACATTCTAAGTTGAGAAAAGGATTATGCCTGAGATGTAATCATTTCCAGAAGAGGAGGAGGAGGAGTGTGGGGTCCTTTGTGCTCTCTGAGCTTGGTTATTTTCTTGCAGACATGTTATTACCCACCTAGGTAACATCATCAGTGCTAGTATGCAGTGAAGTTTGCCTTACTAGCACCGAAGATGTTATTTATTTATTTATTCATTCATTCATTCATTCATTCATTCATTCATTCATTCAACTTGTATGCCGCCTTTTTCCGAAGACCTGGTTACCTGGTCTCTGTTCCCTGGTTAGGTAATCAAACTTCTGCAAACAAACAACCAAACCCAGAAAGCACCAAGGACCCCCCCCCTCATTTCATCCCCCAGCTATAAATATTCTCCTTTCTTAGAACTGAGAGAGGATAACTTGAAATGGCAAAAGGCACAAAGACTTGGTGAGGAGAACAAATCAAACGTGCCATGTGCAAATAAGCGGCAATGTAAATTTCCTAAATAATTTTAAAAAAAAAAAAAATAAATAAATACAGAGACCGTCGAATGATTGGGCACGTGCTTCCTTCGGCAATTTTTTTCTGAACCTGTTGGGCCATCCCTCTCCAGGTACGAACGATCGTGGGAGAAACCGAACAAGACCAAACTGCTTCAAGAGGCTTTGGAAAAATCCGGAAGGCAGGATCTGGCCGAGAAGCTTCGTTGCCTTCACTGGGGCCATCAGAAGTTGAGCAATAAGGTGGAGCTGCCCTCGGCATTCCCCTTCCTCATCACCGTGTATAAGACGACGAACAACAAGGAGCGTCTCAAGAAAATCAACCAGCTTACTCATAAGTAAATCCGGAGATTCCCAATCCTCACATCAAGAGCCGAGCCGAGCTCAGCAGGATTCTTTAAAATTTAAGAATAGGAAATGTCTATGGAGATCCTCAGTCATCCAGGTCATGGTTGTCCCAGGCCATGGTTTGGCACAACCATGGCCTGGATGAGCTGAAGAAGCTTCTTGGATGAGAAGCGAAACGTCTTCAGAGAAAAAACCAGAAAGTCCAGTTGACTCTTGAAAAAAGCACCTTTGGGACTCCAAGTGACCTCAACAATTCTTCAGAAAGAGTACTAATGACCAGATGACTGCAAGGAGTGTAAACCCTTCCATTCTCCACCGTTTGTTCAGAACTGAAGAAGCTTCTTGGATGAGAGGCGAAACGTCTTCAGAGAAAAACCAGAAAGTCCAGTTGCCTCTTGAAAAAAAAAGCACCTTTGGGACAACTGTGACCTGGATGACTGAGAATCTCCATAGACATTCTTTTGAAAATGTTTTGCTTCTCATCCAAGAAGCTTCTTCAATTTTGAAGAAAAAGAACTGAAGAAGCTTCTTGGATGAGAAGCGAAACATCTTCAAAGAAAAACCTGAAAGTCCAGTTGCCTCTTGAAAAAACGCACCTTTGGGTTAAGAATAGGAAAGAGTAGCCACGAACAAGATTGTAACAGGAGAAAAATAGAACGGAATAGAATAGAGAATTCTTTATTGGCCAAGTGTGATTGGACACACAAGGAATTTGTCTTTGGTGCACACGCTCTCAGTGTGCATAAAAGAAAAAATACATTTGTCAAGAATCATAAGGTACAACACTTAATGATAGTCATAGGGTACAAATAAGCAATCGAATCATACTAGGAAACAGTCAATATAAATTGTAAGGATACCAGCAAAAAGGTTAGTCGTACAGTCATAAGTGGGAGGAGATGGGTGATAGGAACGATGAGAAGATTAATAGTAGTGCAAACTTAGTAAATAGTTTGACAGTGTTGAGGGAATTATTTGTTTAGCAGAGTGATGGCATTCGGGGAAAAAAACTGTCCTTGTGCCTAGTTGTTCTGGTGTGCAGTGCACTATAGCATCATTTTGAGGGTAGGAGTTGAAACAGTTTATCTTTAAAATCTGTTTAAAATCTGTTTTCTACACCGTCGTCCAGACTTTTCTCTACGATCTGCTGTCATTTGATTTCTCAGCTTTTAAAATTTGAATGCAGGAGGCCCGAAATGATTTTGAAAAAACAAAAACCCAGCGAAGTAATTTAAAATAAAATCCTATTAACTGGAGTTTGGGAGAAGCTGTAAGCTTTCTGATAGATTTAACGCCACAGATTCAATGCATTTGTGCTTTGTCGATTTTAATAGAAGCACCCTGAAATGTAATTTAAATTTAAAACTTGGGAGTCTCGAGTGTACAAGTCCACTGCTTTTTGCCCTCTGCATCCTGGAGATGTTTTTTCAACCTGCATTTTTAGCAAAATCTGCCATGGCAACAACTGAGTTCCGGGTAAAAAAAAGGCTGCACGCTGAATCCCCACAGGTAGTCCTCGACTTACGACCACAATTGAGCCCAGAATTTAGGTTGCTAAGCGAGACACTTGTTAAGTGAGTTTTGCCCCATTTTACAACTTTCCTCGCTACATTTGTTAAGTGAATTTTGCTCCATTTTGCGACTTTTCTTGGCACAGTTGTTAAGTGAAGACTGCAGCTGTGAAGTTGGTCACACAGTTAAGTGAATCTCGTTTCCCCGTGGATTTTGTTGGTCAGAAGGTTGTAAAAGGGGCTTCAAGTGATCTCAGGGGACACTGCAACCGTCATAAATGTGAACCAGTTGTCCAGCATCCGAATGTAAATCCCTGCAACCCTGGCGATCCTGCAACGGTCATAAGTGTGAAAAATGATTCATAAGCTGAATCATTTCAACTTATGGTTGAAATGGTCATGTCACTTTTTTCAGTGCCATTGTAACTTTGAAGAGTCACTAAATGAATTGTTCTAAGTTGAGGATTGTCTGTACTCAAAACCAACTAGAACTATCCAGGTTTTCAGAATCAAATCAGTGTTTATTTTTCTTTCTCTCTGCTCACTCCCATTTTTATCCATCCCTTTCCCTTATATTCACAGAATGAACCTCTGCACTTTTTTGTGTGACTTTTGATTAACTTATCACAATTATTGGCTCAATAAATTGGCTGGAATTGTTTCTACAGCTGTTTTGAGCCTAGGACAGGGGTCTGCAACCTTAAACACTCAAAAGAGCCATTTGGACCCGTTTCCCACAGAAAAGAAAACACCGAGAGCCACAAAAAACCTTCCCGTGCCTGACTATTTCTTAAGCAGCCACAAAACTAGCATATGTAGTTGAATTAAACATTCTGTTTTCTTCTGAAACTTTTCTTTTCTTGGATTTATCCAAGGTTGGCCTACCGGGGTTGAAAAGCTCAACAAATAGGGTTCAAATAGTATTTATTTGTTCTCTAGGAAATAGGTTCCCATATCAGTTATGTTCATCAGCAGTCTTCCTAAACTATTTATTTATTTTATTCAATTTGTATACCGCCCTTCTCCTAGTGGACTCAGGGCGGTGCACAGCCAGAACTAAAACACATACCAATACAAAATTTAAATTTTTTAAAAGAATTTCATGACTTTGGCCCAAAATTTAAAACATTCAAACCCATTGACAATTTAAAAAGTTTAAAAAGGGAGGGGGGGTTTTCACGCCAGCCCTGCTTGATGGAAAAGAAAAGTTTTTAGGGCACGGTGAAAGACCCGGAGATCCAATATCCTTCGTATCTCCGGGGGCAAACTATTGATTTTGTTCTTATTTCACTTGCTGGCAAATCTATTTGTCCTCTCTGATAAACCAATCGGAACTAGACACAAATGAAATCACATCTTTGTGAAGTGATGTGCACATTTTGCATACAGTACAGGGGGTGGATTATTATTTGAAAAATGCTTGCGAAATCAGAGACCATGTTAACCAAATATGAAATTAAACAAAGGGACCAGTGTTTCTTCGATAGTTCTCTTTAATTTTTTAGCAACACAATAAAAAAGGCTTTTTTTTAAAAAAGAAAAAAAAGTTTGTTCATCCATTCAGGAGCCTGCCGACAGAGATTTCAAATTGTTTTCCAACTGTTCAGCCAAAAGTTTCATCTGCGAAGCCTCCAACAGGTTGCTGATTAGATTATCCAGATGTTCCTTACCGTTTAAAAATCCCTACCAAACAAAGCAAACATTTGAAGGAGTTACTGTGGACAGAGACAATCAAAGTCAACTTTATTTATCTTTATTGGACAGATCTGCCTAGCACAACACTCCAAAATCTAGTTGCCAAAGAGAGCTATGAAACGATTCCCCAGTACTTCAGATCTTAGGATGTACATCTTATTATTCAGTATGCAATAAATTCTTTTTTCTAACTTCTTGTTAGAAAAATTGAGATGTTACAGTGACCTTCCTTCCTCTGTGGAGTTACAAGTCCTCTCCCACTCCCACCCTAGACCTGATGGGTGGGAAGAATGGTTCACATTTACTTTTTTAGTATTTTTTGGACTATAAGACGCGCCTAAATTTAGAAGAGGAAAACAACAAAAGAAAAGTTTTGGCCTCCGTGTCCCATTTTTGGCTCTTTTTTCAGCCCGTTTTCGAGGTGTTTTTCGGCCCATTTTTGAGGTTTTTATGGCTCGTCTTTGAGGCTTCTTTCAGCCCATTTCTGAGGCTTTTTTGGCCCATTTTTTAGGCTTTTTTCAGCCCATTTTTGAGACTTCTTTCGGTCTCAAAAACAGGCTGAAAAAAGCCCCAATAATGGGCTGAAAAAAGCCTCGAAAACGGGCCAAAAAAAGCCTCAAAAATGGGCTGACAAAACCCAAAAAATGGGCCAAAAAAAGAGGCCCGAAAACGGACTGTGTGGAGCCCCAAAACAGCCAGTGGGTGGGCGGGGCTTCAGCAATATTCGGTCTCTAAGACGCACAGGCCTTTTCACCCTTTTGTGAGACAAAAAAAGTGCATCTTATAGTTCGAAAAATACGGAATATTTTTTTTGTGCTGCTATAACATTAACTGGCCACTAGAAGGCAGACAACAGCTGCAAAAATCCATCATTGCCGCCTCCTGGTGGTCAATTCTTAGCAAAACACTTCAGATCACAAGACAATACTTTTCTGTTATTCACAGAGCAGCCTTTCCTTTTTCAGGCTTCTGCACTTTAGAGTCAAAATAATTTTAATGAACTGACTCTTTAAAGCAGCTACATCATTTACATCCCACCCATCATAAGCTTGTGGGAGGGGGGGGAACCCAGCCCATTTTAAGGAATTAGCAGAGGTGCTGTTTTCACACAACATGCAAAACCTTTCTTCTGAAGTTTTAAGTTTACTTTATTGTCATTGCACCTTGTACAACGAAATTAAATACCATCTTCAGTGTACATTATAACTATAAAAATAAAACACAAAACACACATCCTTCACATTCTATACAATTGAACTGAAAACCCCCAATATTGTATTAATATTGCACTATAAAGTAGAGGGACATGGTGGCTCAGTGGCTAAGATGCTAAGCTTGTCAATCGAAAGGTTGGCAGTTCAGTGGTTTGAATCCCTAGTGCCGCGTAATGGGGTGAGCTCCCGTTACTCGTCCCAGCTTCTGCCAACCTAGCAGTTCTAAAGCACGTAAAAAATGCAAGTAGAAAAAATAGAGACCACCTTTGGTGGGAAGGTAACAGCGTTCCGTGCGCCTTTGGCCTTGAGTCATGTCGGCCACATGATCACGGAGACGTCTTCGGACAGCACTGGCTCTTTGGCTTTGAAACGGAGATGAGCACCACCCCCTAGAGTCAGGAACGACTAGCACATATGTGCGAGGGGAACCTTTACCTTTACCTTATACAGTAGAATTCAATATAGTTACTGTTCTGGGACAGAAGCTGTTTTTCAGTCTATTTGTCCTTGTTTTTATTGTCCTGTACCGTCTGCCCGATGGTAATAGTTCAAAAAAAAAAAAAAAAGGTTGCCCAGGAGGAGATGGATCTTTAAGAATGTTTTGAACTTTCTTAAGGCAGCGGGAACTATAAAGCTCTTCCAAGGAGGGGAGAGGGCATCCAATGATCCTCTGGGCAATGACGTTGACCCTCTGGAGCGCTGTCCTATCTGCCACTGTGCAATTGGCAAACCATACATAGGTATTACATCTCCTAAATCACACCGAGGCCCTCGGAAACCCCATTTGTTCTATTCATGTCAGGACCCATTTCCTGGTTACCAGGAACTTTCAAATTCGCTGCAAGATTCTTGACCCCATTTTTATGTTAAAACGGCAGGAGCAGCAAACCATACACAGGTGCAGTAAGTTAAGATGCTCTCTATGGTGCAGGGGTAAGAGATTACTACTAACAACCCTAAATTACGATATAGACACGTTCGGTTTCAAAAGAGGACATTTCATAGCTTTGACTTAAAGAGAAGTGTTTGAATGACTCCTCTGTCGACCAGAAATAGTTCTGGACCAAAAAAAAAAAAGAATATTGGACAAATATATCTTTCCACTAAGCACTATATTGTCATCATTTTAGAAAAAAACAGCTGTCGGCCCACATCCAATTTTGTGACCTCTGTAGTTTTAGCACTTAGGGGTGACACAAATCAACATTCCAGTATTTGAGGGGCTGCCAGAAAGAAGAGGGGGTCATCTTATTTTTCAAAGCACCTGAAGGCAGGACAAGAAACAAAGGGTGGGAACTAATCAAGGAGAGAAGCAACCTAGAACAAAGGAGAAATTTCCTGACAGTGACGACAATCAGCGGAACAGCTTGCCACCAGAAGTTGTGGGTGCTCTATCACTGGAGATTTTTAAGAGGAGATTTGACAGCCATTTATCTGAAATGATATAGGATTCCTGCCTGAGCAGGAAGGAGCATAATCCCTTGCAGGGTGGAGCCTGGGCAACTGAATGGAGCTAACAGAGTATTTACTGGCCGGATGCCCTTCCTGTCACCAATGCGGAGTTTTGTTCAGCAGATATATATTCTCATGGTGCCCAAACAGAGAAATATCTGCCTCTACTTAGGATCAAACTCACAGCCTCCTGATTGTGAGGCGAGAGCTCTACCTCAATGCCACCGTATCACTCCACAGCTGCTCCTGGTTGCCGGAGGAAAAAATCTGCCCACCTATTTTAGAATAAATACCTTGATATCACGGACTTCATAGGAAATCCTATGGTCGGTCACCCGATCTTGGTTGAAGTTGTACGTGCGAATTCTCTCCGATTGGGATCTTGACCCTAACTGTGAAAGAAGGAAGAGGCAGTCCTCGACTTACGACCATAACTGAGCCCAAAACCTCTGTCGCTAAGTGAGACCGTTGTTGTGAACACACAATTATCAGGCGATTCTTTTATGTAGCGTTCTTCCCCCACGCTCTTTGCTATTTTTAATTTCTCGTAATAAACCTTAACATTTATTTCAGCACAGGGTTGCAGGGAGTCCCAATCAGGAATGGGTTTTTCGTCTTGTCTGGTGACCCGGAAGAAGAAGACACAAAGCAGAGTTTGGGCATTTGCTGTTGTGACTTGGAAATGGGGCAGGATCATGGATGCACAGCACAGTCCTTGGGTGTGCACCTTTGGACTACCTCACAAGACGGGTGGTACAAAGCATGTACTCTCCGAAGGAAGGCTGTCCTGTGTCCTTATTTCCCACTTCTACGGAGTCAAATATGTTGTGACCCCGACTCCCGAGCCTGTCCTCATGGAGGAAGAGGACTCAGAAGGTAATGGGGAGGAACTGACAAGGCCTCCCTCTCTCTAGGAGCTTCCTCTCTGGCAATGCCTCAGGTTCCATCCGAAGGCCAAGAGGAACAGCCTGGGATATGCCAGGAAGAAAGCATATCGGAACAACAACAGATAGGGAGCGAGGATGATGAATCCTGGCTTGATCCCAGGCAGCGTCGGAGGGAGAAGCGTGCGCAGCAACGAAAGAGGTGTGGGAGGGCCAGAGATTGAGCTGAGTCACGGAGCCACACCCCACAAGGAATAAAAGTGGGTGGGATTGCTCTTCAGGCTTTGTGACGGTCAAAGTTAAAAACCTGAGAGTCACATCGTGTTACCTGGAATCTGGCTTGTACATATTTGGATTGGACCTTGGCTAACTCTTGCTTCGTGGATTACTTTTTGCTACTGAACCGGACTGAGGAT